TTAATTTTTTCGATTTTGCGAGGATACGTACAGCGAAGCTTTAATTTAGTAGCTCTTCGCAACTGCAAATATGCACTTCATTTGCAAAACGAAGTTTCGAAAGAGATAGAGAGCGAGACGCTATCTCAGCACGTAGACGATTGAAGTATAAGTGTCTAAATTTAACGATACGGTGACTTCCCTCGCTCCGCGCCGGAGAAACTTCGACTTTTCTCGCTAGATGAATACCTGCTTATCTGCTACTTTCTGTGTACCTCCGTGCAATCTTCATCTCTTTTTCCGAGATAAATATTCCCTTTCATTTCACGTATAAATAAGACAAGCAAATAATTTTGCATGAATAAGACAAAATTTTATGCTATTATAAGAATGTTCTGCCATACACCTTATATTATCACGTACGTGATATGTATTCCGTTATTCGACCTTCAGACAGAGAAAGGAAAAAGAATCTCTTCATGCGAAAGAGAAATAAATGACTTTCTACAGGATCGTGACTTTTTTACGGCATGCACCGGCGAGAGAGCTCAACCTGTCGGCGCAGCGTGACATCGACGAGGATAAGTGTTAAATATATATATATATATATATAGAACGAGAGAGAGGGGGAGAGGGTGTTTACTAACTGCCGGTCCAGCCAAGTTCGTTGTTCTTTTCTATACTGTTATTTCTTTTCTTGCCACTTCTTATTCTCGTCGCGATTTACGAGAGTAAAGCTTTCTTGCCAAACTTTATTTTTGGGAACGCGGGATTTTAATCCATTTTCATTACGAAAGTAAATGCATAAATCAAGGGGGGTTGAGTACGGTATCGACAATTAGAGCTACACATATGCGCATATACACGACTACCGGTTACTGATTGCTCCGAAAATGTATACCGCGCAACATTTCCGCCCGTTCGGCAATAACTTCATTGTGGAAGCAACAAAGTTTAGCCACGAATAATTTAACTAATGGTATTGTTTCGTCCATTCGTGCGAATCTACAACTATCGTTCAATGAATCGCAGCATTATAAAGGAATCGATGGTACAGGGACATACAATAATTAATTACACTTACGAGCTTGTTCGTTAATTAAATGTCAATCACGCGGTTCGCGCGTATCTCAAAAGGAAGAAACTTACGTATCCTTGGTATAATTTATTGCTGTTTGAATAGAATTTCTACGGTATATGTATAAGATAAACTGAATTCCTTGCCGGCGTTCTGATTTCACTGAATATATAGCGTTTCCGCTTTTGCCGCGTGATATGAGATTTGTTTGCCTGCAGTCGCGCCATCACGTGCTCTATATATGAGGCCAAAATGTGCCACGGGATTCGTGCCGGTGCGACGCGTTTCGCTTTTAAGACGGCGCGGCGGCGTCTCATATTCCGCTCGCGTGGCCAGGATATACGCGGCGCGATGTCGAGACTCGCGAAGAGGACACAATGATAAAAGTCATCGTCGTCGTCGCACCACGTCCGTTCGTGAAAGGGGATTTCCCGCGGACAAAAGGAGTGTCCCCCGTAATAACAATTTACAATTATCCCGATGCTTCGGCGAGCGACCGTCGCCACCGCCACCGCGAGTCCCGTTGCTCTGCGACATTCTCTCGCTGCGGAAGGAAAGGCACTCTCGGATTTGAGTCACGCCCGACAATCCGTGGTAACTTCCGCTTTGGCTTTAATTAGACCCGCCGCGGAAACGAAACTGCCGGACAACGACTGGGGAGCACCGCGCTAAATTTACCGATCGTTCGTTCCGGCCGCCCCTCGCGGCCCCGAATTTTGATCGGGCGTAATAAAAAGAATTGAAGCTGTCAGACTGCGAGAGTTTTACGACACGCTACTTATTGAAATGGCAAGAAATAACACGAGCAGATAAAAGCCTAGCCGTCGGAAAGCTACTGATTATTTGCCATTTAACATTTAAATATTAGTCGGCAGACAACAAAATAAATTAAACTACTGTGAAACTCTAAAGTGAGACCCCAAACTCGACTTTGCCGGCATGTTCGGAGTTTATAATATTTTTTTCCCGTTTTTAAGTTACCTACAGATTGTTTAATCTTCACTATCCAGTTATCCATTTTAATAATAAAACTACCTGATTTTATTGTAATTTGTATGTCAAAGACTTTGACAAAGATAGAAATATGAGCTAAAAATAAAATGCAGCCGTGTTTTTCTTTATATAGAGAATATGAAGATGAAAATATATGTACCTATAAATGCTTAATAATTGAGATCGCTAAGTTACTGTTCCTTTTTTCAGATTTTCTTCTAATAGATTACAATATTTCATTAACAGAATCAAAGTCTTCAGTCAGTTAAAGAAAGAAAAGCACTGTAGGATTAATAGTGCTCACAAATGAGCAATCAAATTCAGCGGCAGTCCGCTTCTCCAGTTACTCGATTTGTAATGCTCGATAATATGAAAACTTGGCGTATGTACAGACAGATACTATGACATTATTTGCTTTATTAATTTATTACAAAGCACGTTTAAATGCGCGTGAAGCAGTATTTAGTAGTCGCGGTTTGCGAACTGTCATAACATTTTACATTTACATTCATTTATGCAATAGCATAATTTACATGTTATGAATATTTTATGAGGGGCACCGGTGTAATATATTTAAAACATGCGATGTTGCTAATTCAGTACAATGTCGCTTTTCATACGTTAATTTCACACTTTATGGTTCCGCGCTGACGAAAAATCTGGTGGACAGTCAGCTCGGCTGCATTCGCGAAAAATATAAAACTAATGCAAAAGAATGTGGCCAAGATTAAATGCGGTGCGACTGTATATATGCTTCCAGTGTGTTGGGGCATTATGCATCGCGTAACTTTTAAGTCAGCCTAGAAGCCACAATTTAGAAGAGTCCCCCTTTAGAGGAACATTAATGGTTTTGTTTCAAGAGGCCGAAGATGAATGTTACACGCTGCAGTATCTCTCTTGTCTTTCTGTTCGCAAGAAAAACATGGGAGCAATGTGCGGCGATCGAAATGAGAAATTATCAATTCTCTCTTGGCCGAAAGTTGCCGCTTAATGAGGTAATCGAACTTGAGATTCGCGTTTACTTTGTGGCTCCACCTTCATTTTCCGTTTCCATGCATCCGATTCTTGCATTATCCCACAAAAAACGAAACGCTATCGAGAGATTCTTGGAGCTCTCTTAAACTCTCGTATTTTCATTTTTGCAAAGCGTATTTATTCAAGTCTCCTGTGTTTTTATTATACAAGGATTTAGTACGAAGGATTGAACATATTTTTGTTTTATTTTGCTGCGGTTTTACTCGTGAATCGAAAATCACAAAAAAGGCGAATCGACGATTATAGGTACGACAATTTTTACGGTCGAAAGAACGAGCTGAAATAAATTTTTGATAATCTGCACTATTTGTTCGTTTTCTGAATTTTATTGCGAAGTGCATCCTGTGCCATGTATAATATAATCTCAAAAATATTAACAAAATTTGTAATACAGTTTAATATTTGAAAATCTACTACAAACTGTATTAATGATAAAAATTGCATTAAAATAGTACCATAATTATGACGCTTATATTAAACTACGTATGCTTTTGTATACAGCCGTTTTTCATTTTCTCTTTTTACAGTCAAAGCTGTTGCATTTTAATTCTTTGCGGTTTAGCAAATGTATCAGTTACATTTAGTACACAGGGTAAACAAAAGTGTAAAAGCACATCTCTCAGATTTCAGTATTGCTATTAAAAGAATTGTATTTTTCTTGTTTTTAAAACAGAAAAAGTGACATCTCACAGAAAAATATAAAAGTTCAAAATATTTTATTATATATAATAAATACTCGAGTGCTAAACTGCAGATTTTATTAATTGAATATTTGAAAACGTTTATATATAAGCTGCATCATGTAAATTGTCGTTTGATATACAAAATATTATAAAAATTTTCTAATTTTTTCTGGATCAATCTATCGATACAGTAATATTTTTTATTCCGCGAGAATTAAGCGATTTTTCGTATTTGATACGATAATTATTACGTATGCTTGCATCCACTTTAAGCTCTGTCGCGAAAGAAGGGAGAAAAATCCTTTCAAATGATACCGCCGATCGTGAAAAATGTTTGATGGCGATCTTTTCGAAGTTTATGACGTTCCATGATCCTTACCAAAACTAAACGTATCCATCTACCGCTTGTCTCTTTTCCTAACCGATATCCTATCACTCTCTTAACATCGCTCAATCGTCGATCGCCCCGCAGATTTCCGTAGCATTTTACCGGAAGTCTGTGAATATGATCTGCCGTTCCTCCCCCGAATAGCGTATACGAGTGGCGTAAGATCTTCAAGAAGGGGGCTTTAACGACTTTACGAGATTCGCGCCTCACGTAGGCGGTAACGACTTTCTAAGTGCGAAAATTTTTAAGGCAACTGGGAAAATTTCTGAGCCAGTAATACGGAGCCGCTAGCCCCGTTAGCCAAACTACTACGCCACGAGTTTTGTCTTCGCGCCGGCAGCTGATGCGCGCCGAGATTGAGAGATTTACGCCGACGATGTGCATCCGTCTTGCATCGCATTTTAATGCAGTTCACAGTTTATGTGGGGCGCGTAAGAAAATCCTTCTTCCATCTGGATTTATCCACTGTTATAATAAACGCCTTATCTCAAACGTGTGCCTTACGATCGCAATAAATTTCTAATTCCTAGCTTCCTAGCTTCGATGCTTTCTTTAAAAAAAAAATGAATGCTTAAATGTCTTTATACTGCTGCATTTATATTTTAAATCACGATAGTTGAATCGAATTTTGTTTATTAAACGGAACTGAATAGATGGGGACACAAATGGAATACTCTCATTGAAGCGTTGCATATGTTCTACAAAATGCTTGTTATTTCAAGTTCAATTTGCTGAATGTAAATGCGTCGGCGTCGAGCGCGGGAATAAGGTTGACGAACCCGCGCTGCATGTAACATAGAGAGCACTCTCACGAATGCGAATTCGCATCCGGTTTTTGTTGCAGGTCGAGATAAAAGGAATCTCCGGACCTATTGAATTTAAAGAAGGCCGCAGAATTCAGTTTAAATTGGATCTGCTGAAACTGAAGCAACACTCGCTCGTCAAGGTACGTCCGTGGCCTTACCGTAAGCAAAACAGGAAGCGTGTTAGGGGAGCGTCGGGAATATCAGATATAAAATTATATGCGAAACTAGGTCGGCGAGTGGCGTCCCGGCGCCGGCGTCAACGTCACAGACACTGCGGCCTTCTTCGAGCCTAGCATCGGGAATGTAACTCTGATTGTGATCACTATACTGGTAAGTTGCCGTCGGTATCAAATCACCATTTTGTTGCGCAATAAAAGTGTTTTTGTTTTTAGCCTTGTTTTCGGTTTTATTTATTGTCCTGGCAAGAAAATTATTTTATATAAGGAATTTCTTTTTTGTAACTTCATATAAATCTACGCACGTTTTATCGCAAGATTATGCGACATTTGGGGACGCAGTTAAGAGGAATATATTCAAATATATTCGTAATAATTTTTGCTTTCAAAAAAAAAATGAACAGAAACGATACACGCAAGGCGAGGTAGATTGTCGCATAATGTTCGCCGACTGTTTTACTGGTTTCAACTCCGGCACCGCCGTATACCCGCCCATTTTGGAAGTCGAGCGAGAAACGCGCGATAGCCGTTGAAAGTTCCTCGATATGGTCGGCGCCGACGTGTCTCGTCATAAATCCGCGCGTTACGCCGCGGTGGTCTCAAAGCGCTTTTCGTTATTCTTGCATGAATCCCGGGTACGTTCGGCGTCCGGGCCGAGCAGGAGACGCCGTACGTGATGATGCACCACGAAAAGAACTACACCGGGAACTCGCGATTTTACGGTTTTTGCGTGGACCTCCTGGCGGCGGTGGCGAGGGAGGTAGGCTTCTCGTACCGGCTGGAGCTGGTGCCGGACAGGAAGTACGGCGCGCGGGACCCGGAGACCGGCGAGTGGAACGGCATCGTCCGAGAGCTCATGCGACATGTATGATTTGGTTTGTTCGTTTCATTTCTCACGTCTCTCTTGTCTGATACACGTGATACATCCATCCCCGGGACACTCTTGCTCACCGCATATAGAGTATCGCTGCTGCTGACATCTCGCATTGGCCCGTTTCGTATAACCGAGGCAAGCTTTACTTTGTCACCTGAAATTACATACCTCAGATTAGACTAGATCCCATGCCGATTGTTGCTATTGAATTGAAAGCGATTCTATGGTTCGCCAATTTCTGCCCGACCAATACGAGCTTGTACTACTGTGTATATTCCCTTAATTGCTAACAAGTGTACATATACTGCGTTAATACCTTGACGGTCCAGTATGCAATCGCATTAATGGTAGAGATGTAAATAGTATTAGCTCGTTGTTTTCAAAATTCTTTAATTGGTAAAGACATAAAATGTAAGTAATAAAATCATCCTATTCTTCTGTAATCCCATATTTTGTTACAATCCAATATCTCGGACTCAGTTATAATTGGGTTTTGTGCATCTAGTCGCAATAGTTCTATGCTTGACTAGTCGAATTTGTTCTCCTAGTAACTCGTTATAATTAACTACTCCTGGTATCTACCATAATTGTAGAATAAAGAGCCATCCTTTAAAGATAAATCACAATACGACGTGTACGTTGTAATGTGCGTGGCATTGACTCGTAAATGTCCGTCGACATGAAATAAGATCGTAAATCGATCAATAATTGTAGCAAGCTGTCTATTGATCGCGTTGTTTAGCGTAAACATCCCAGGATCACAGCATTATAGAATTCGCTTGCAGGGTCAATTACATAAATTTCGATTAGCATAATTAATTACACCAATTTTTTTTACAATCCTACATATAATCACCGACATATAACTTTGCATGAAATTTTCATTTTGGAAAAATTGGAAGTAATAATTATTGCTTCCAATTTTATTCCTTATTTATACAACGAATGAAAAATCTTTTTATAATGTAAGAAATAAAAATGACAACTCACATAAAAAGAATATTTAATAATTGTTTATATTTTCAAACAATGAGGTAATATTTCTTGATTATTTTTTTTGTACTTAACGCGAACAAATAATTTACGAATGCAAATTTTTTCTATAAAGCGAATTAATTTATTTAAACGAGGAAAAGATCATATTGGCCGTAGATGTCAAACAAATTATTAAATATATGACATAATAATTTATAATTGTATTAAATCATATTGTAATTTATATTTAAAATTAAAATTTGCACGGGATCTCTCAATGTAGATGAAAATCAAAGTATAATTAATATTTTTTACATATCGCGAATTTTTCCTTTTTCATTGAAAATAGCTTCAGATAGGATGTGTGTACGAACGTAAAATACTTTTTTTATAATGATTTTATTAATAATAAAGATCAATTGTGCATAAAAATAAATGCGAATAAAATGTATTTCTCGTACAAATTATAACGCTATTTTATAATATCACTATGATTATAGACTAGTAATTTTCATGCTTACTGAAGCAATATACGATCTTGCAAAATGATTTTACCTGAGAATTTCTTATTTACTTTGATTAATTATTTCTCGAAGATACGAAAACTTTTCTCTCTCTCTGACTGTGCGCGCAAATCCTTAATAATTACGTATTTCGTCGATACTCGCGTGCACGTGCGTCGCTTTGTATCCGCGAGCGCATTGAAATTTACCGGGACCTCTTCTCCTTAAATCTTTCACGCTCTTACGGCTTCACGCTTCACGTACTTTTTCTCTTTATTCAAAAGACTCATGCATTATTCAAAGGGAAGTTAAAAGTGGCCTTACAGCCTCCATTAAGTTGGCTTAAATTAATTTTATATCTCATTTTCCGTCTTCTAAATTGCATGTACGGACTTTAGCACTCTGCGCTCTCTCACGAGAACGTGCCATATTAAGTAATTATTCATGAACGCGCCCCGATCGTTTAATCCATCTTTTCTTACTCTACGCGTGCGATAAGTCAATTAGTCATTTCTTTTTCCATTTCGACGCGATACCCGTGTGTTCTTTTACGTCGAAATCTACGGTAAAAATTTGCGCGCGCGCAAAATTCATCCCGCAAAAAATAATTTCTCTCTCACCAAGGCTTCCACCCCTAACTACCCAACGCTAATTTTTCATCTTTGTTTTCGTGCGCGCATTCGCGCAGCTTATTTAGATTGAATCTTACGTTTGAATTTTCAAGCTCTTTCCATATTTGCATATGTATGTATACGTATGCATAACAATTTTTTTTTTTACAAACGAATGTAAAACCCCAAACAGCACGCGCATGCACACAAATAAAATACGTGGCGTTCTCGACTGTCTCGTTTGAATCCCCCATGTCACAAAGATAATAATATTAAATAACAAGAATAAAAACAATTTAAAATGTTTTAAAATGCGTTGTAAATCTCGACTCGGATTAACACGCTCTCCTTTTTCATCTTTCATGTTTTTTTTCCTCCCCAACACGCCGCTTTTCGACGCGGCTTAATTAATACCTACTAAATGCATTCTCCATATAGGCGGAGTATGCAGTTAATCCGGTCGAAATTCTCATATGCAGCTCGTAAATACCAAATCCGCTCGACGTACCCTCTAATTAAATCTCTCGCGTTTCCGCCGCGCGGCAGTCACCGGTCCCATTTTCATCTAAAATGGCGGAAAGCCTTCATGAAGTGAAGCTACTTTATTGCATTTCAAGAAGCCGATTTGAATTTAAATTTAAATCCAGACCCCACGCGCGCGCGCGCGTGGTGGACCTCCAACTCACCGCGTCTGAATATACGGCGACCGCGCGATAACGCTCGCATCTGGGGCGGGCGTAGAGGGGAGCATCTTTTTGTCTATATTTTCACTCGTTCATCGTCAGGATAATATTTACCCGGTGAAACGAAAGCTCTCGCTCGTTGCACGTTCGTCTCTCCCGTATACGTGTGCAATTATCGGAATTTCTCGGATAATTTTTCCCGTTCTTGCTTCCCCGTATTGTTCGTCGGCGTTACTTCAACACGATCGATTATTCGTATCAATGTTTCATCAGATGTTTAAATTCACCGCTTCTGCGCGCGAGATACACGTTCTCAACTTGATAAAAATTCCTTTGTTTCTCATTAATGTAAAATAACGATGTTAGATAAGACAGATTTTTTTATCGCGTGTAAAAAATGAGAAAAGTATATTCGCTATTAAATTAATGGGAAAAATTATCTATGATATAGAGGCAAAAAATCCGTTAATCGAAATTATGTATCATGTCAACTTTATAAAAAAAGGGCAAATCAGCTCATTTTGAATTTTCACTATCGGACTTACTAATGCGTTTGATATCGATCAGAAAATCATGTACCTCAACGGTCTATTTATCTCGAACTTTTTTTATTAGTAAAACAACAAATAACAATATAAGATAGCATCACACACTCATGAGATTTATTTGGCAAGCTATCGTCCTGCTGACGTAACATTACGCACGTTAATCGGTCCTCTCGCACCTGAGTCTCCGAGGCCTACGACACGCAGTTACGCTTGCAGAGCACATCTCGTGGGAGTGTTCGACGTAATAGTCTATCGAAGAGTAATCCATTTAGCCGGTAATCAACATCGAGAGAGCCATCGAACGCTCGCGTTCGGGGGGGGGGGGGAAGGGGCAAGTGCATTCGCCATGCTCGGTATGTCATCGTAAATACCAATTAAAGCTGTCCGCGCCGTTACAGATAGATGCACGACTCGCTGTCGCGTACGGCGCATACGGTATCCCGGGGATCTTCGGCGACGTCACTTTTTATGCGAAATTCATAGATGTTATTTCAGAGTGGGGAAAAAAAGCACGGATAAATTTTCAGTCGACATTACGCAGCTCGAGCTGCGCATCACGTCGTTTGCGATACAGCTTGTAAGTTCTTCGGGCACATTTTTACACACATATAGCATGTAGTACATGTGCTCTTATAATATTTATATTATAGAATAAAAGTACGAACGTTTTTTTTTTGTACGAGTAAAAGCCAATATACAGCTGTCAGTCTAATATTATTAATATTAACACGATTTCAACAAAATGCGTCCGTCTGTTATTCTTTAATTGAATCTGCATAACGCGTATTCCTCGGCGGGGGAGCAAAGCGACACACCAACATTTTCCCTAATCCTCTCGGAGCGACACTGAAGCTGTAAAACTTGATCTCCAGCCGCGCGCGACTCGATTCGCCCCCAAGAAGTAAAAAAAATAAAAAGATTTACATCCAATCCGTATAAAATTCCCGTGACGAACGCGCGAACGCTTTATCGTTTCGCGCGGAACTTTGTTGTCGACCATATCGATAGGTCCGCGCGCGCGGTGGTAGCTGCACCCTGTGAAAGGGGATGCGGGATAACGAAATGGGCGGGAGAACTGGCGACCGGAGACGGACGAACGTAGAGATAGGAAGGAGTGAAAGAGAGGAAGGAATCGGGGGGGGGAGGGCGGGGGGGGGGAAATCCTGCGAAGGGATAGGGGGGAACGAAGCGAAAGACGGCAGCTCCTTTTTATGATCCCCGTAGGAGCAGCCGTATGTAATGCTGAAGAGCGGGGGGAATTTCAGCGGGAACACGCGCTACGAAGGCTTCTGCATCGACCTGCTGAAGGAGATAGCGCGCATGGTGGGCTTCACCTACAGGATCGAGCTCGTGCCGGATGGCAAGTATGGCGTTTACGATTACGAGACCGGCGAGTGGAACGGGATAGTTCGCCAGCTGATGGACAAGGTGAGTGTGTGTGCGATACCCGTGCGCGTCCGTGTGCATCGGTGCCAGGCTCGACTTGAATTAGCGCGGGAGACGTGCACAGCCTACTGGAGCCAAAGGGAATTGAACCGTCTGCTCATGCGAACTGCGGCATTGTCAGAAATAATCCTCTTCGGCAATCGATTTTATAAATGTCCCGTTTTGTACATATAGATTCTCTCTGTATAGGCATCTCGATAATTTATTGTTAAGAGGCGTGCACGAAAGAGTCTCGCGTGACTGCGAGGATCAGAGGATCCTTTCAAAATGAAAGGATGTCTGACTGACGTACTATATATACCGCGTACACGGCGGCGTATAATTTACAGGTGACGGAAGCGTTGTATACGCGGTCTACCTCCGCGTGCTCTGGAGGTTGTTGACTCCCAGCGCAAGAGACAGTTTGATAACCGGCGATAGACGCAACAAAGGGTAGTTAAGCGAATTTCGACAGAGATAGGGAGCAAGTGTATCGGCATTCGCCGAGGAAATGTGATCCTTGGGAGATATGAGTAGCGTCGCTCGTATACGCAAACAAGTTATCCTGCGTACATATCCCAAGAGATATCCGTAGAAACACGTGCTTCACAAAAATTTACTTACGGCTCTCCTTTCACCGTATACGAATTATCGCGACCAATTTCGTGTCAGGTCAAAGGTATACTGCCATTCGCATCAGTAACACCCCGCGTGTGTTCCATGGGCGCGCATTAATCATGCAAATTGATGGCCGCACACGCGAGATTACCTACGAACGACAGCGCGACGGCGGCGGCGGGATGTGCCGCGATATATAGGAAACCGTGTGCAATTTTGGTGGCGATAGGCGCGCGAGCGAATCGCCGCACCGTGCACTTCGCGTTAAACGCGTATAGGCTTAGGCTGCGCCGCGCGCATGCCGCCTCGCTTTTGCAATTCAAATCACGAACAGATGCGACGGCCTGGGTGTGTATACGGGCGACATCGCGTTTCTACCAGGAAAGCGTGAAACTAGCCCGCGTATTGCTGCTGCGTCGTCGTAGTCGGCCCGCCGACTACGTCTACATTTCGGAGGTGGGTAGGTAGGTAGGTAGGTACATCGCGCACGCGGGGCGATTGATTAAGTGGCGCATACGCGCGCAATTCCGTTCTACCGAATTTCAATATCCCGCTGACGTTTGTAGCAGATGCAACGGCAACTGTGCGCGACGCCGTGATAACGATGTCAATCGCATACACGCCTCGCGTCTGCCGGCAGGCAAGAGAAGATAGCGGCGCGCTCGGAAATAAAAAGAGCTTGGGGGTTACGCAAGTAAATCCTCGTGTCGGAACCAGAGTTAAGCGCACGCTGTAGTGTATCACCGTATATGTACGTACATATGTGACACCCGCATTGCTGCGATCACGATAGCCTGAATGTATTATTCGCACCAGTAAAGAAACGTAGAAGTTTGAGCGTTGCTTTTTCGTATATTTGTGATTGTCCTAGGATTTTTGTTAATATCCCAACTAAACGAGATAGACGGATAATCTCTCTTGAAATTAACTTGACGCAACATGCAAAATTGGAAGATCTTTATGTTTTACAAATATTTTACAATTTCTTTCGAGGTAAAGAACTTCGAGGACAGCTCGTCCTTTTTTTTTCCATGGAACGCGCACATTTTTTTCCCGCGGTACATTTTCTTGAAGGAGCACTCGTTTTTGGGAGAAAACTCTAAGTAGGATGTAATGAGCCAAGTATCCTAGGCGGCGATATCTACATTCCAGAGAACTACTTTCGCCATAAATCCCGAACTTTGGGATTGGATTCAGTGTCCGGTTGCTGCGGAACACAAAGGCGCACTTTTATCACGATGAATAATGTATAAATCCTGCGTGTGCGTTGCGCGTACGTGTGTGCGCGCGCGCGTATAACAGAAATTACGCGCTCGTATAGAAATAATTAATTCCAGACTTTTAATGTGGACGTGACAAGGAAAGTTCGAGGAGATGGCTTTATCAAACGGGCTCGAGTCGAAGTGTTCGAAATGACCGTTTAATTTAACGAAATAATATTCGTAAATTAAGGGAAGGATGCTGGCTCAAGAAGGAGTAGATAACGGAATAATCGCGTTCTGAAAATTTCAGGGAAACGACAGTTATGAATGGTTTAATATCTTGGGATCCCGAATGCATTAAACATAACGATCAACGATACGATGACGTATAAACGCCGCGTACGGGCCGGAATTCACGGAATTATGAGGAATCGCGATATGAGATATCCGCGAAATTTCTCATTTTCGTCGGGACCCGCAGACCGGTGGACGTTACAAAGCGACCGGCACTATGTTATCCGGACGGCAGTATTAATTTTGTCAGATGATCATTAATAATACTCGCCTCGCCGCAGTCGTCGTGAGCCCGAGAGCGCAATGGCGAAACCGAGGACGGAAAAATGATGATAAAAAAGCTCACGTAATATGCCTAGAAGCGGCATCGTATTTTAGCGACTTATGCATCATAGTTAAGCGAAACGCCGCCTGTGCCGTTCGAAACATCCGCAGCTAAGAATGTTAAATCGATGATTAGTCTGCAGAAAACTATTGTAATTAGCCATATTTTAGTGCGCACAGTAAAATTATATATATAATATAACGCAAACATCAGAATAAAAATCGTTGAAGTATGAAATGAATAGAGTATATTGCACGCTGCTTAAAAGAAATTTGCTGAAATACTTTTTATCTATTTTTAATTAATAGATATTTGAAAAGCAAAGAGAAGATGCAAAATCTCTTCGTTAAGTGCGTGTCGCTTGATTCGAAATTTGACTACAATTCTCTTATATTGCGTTAATTTTTAGTTCTATTTTATCTAGATATTGCGCGTTTCAGCGAGTGATATTATTTCGAAAATATTACTGTGGAAAGGTATATTTGTTTTCAAATAAAAATATTATTTTACGATAAATTTTTTACCCACAACGCTAATTTGTGAATTTAACGCAACAAGTTTTTGGAGTATTCGCCGACACGCAAAATATGCAGAATGTTACACGAGATATTAATTTTCCTCGCGTGGATTTTCTTGAAAAGAATGATATATCGATATTTTATTTTTATCTGAACACAGGTGATAAATGGGCTATCGTTTGTCGGGCTACACGGGAAAAGGTAACGCGGCTCAAAAATGAATGAATGAAATGAAAAACGAAGCCCGCATCGCGATGTATCACCGCCGTCATGGAAATTATTAATCGACAAAAGCGATTTTCAACAAAAGTATTAAATAAACTATATATATATATATATATATATATATATATACACAATGTATTGCGGATACAATATACACAAATATATATCGGACACTCCCGCGTCTCCGTAATCCTATGTAAAATTGATATCGCCCTTTTTCCGGTACATTATCTCCGCTCGCAGCTTTAACCGACGGCGGCTTCTCGCATTCACGCTTCCCTCGACACACGTTCGATGCGTGTACGCGAGCTGCTGCACATTCGCTCGTACATTCATAAACGATTGACGGGCACGATGCATCGCGGGCCCGCAATGGCGCCATGCTGTCATCGCGCGCGAGTACACGCAACAACAAATTATTGCGACCGTCATCCATGGGTCGACCCCGGGGCGCGGGCGTAAATCACGCGCGAATTAGTGACGCCGCCAATCCGAAATATCTTTCACGGGGATGAACCGGTATCGCCGTTTTACGCGACGTCGATGTCCGACCATTTCGCCTGTCCGTTGTACGTGAGATGTATCACTGAGCATTCCCATTCACGGTTCAACTATTGACGTGCGTAATATACAATAATATATATATGTATAAAGTATCGAGTTTTTGCGTGTGAAAGGCTAAAAGCGAAATTACATGTGTGTAAATTATTGTTGGAATCAATAATGATTGCTTTTCATTCACAATCGTATCGCGTGATTATTTAGTATCAGTTTCATTGAAAAAAAAAAAAATTATAAAATATCCAACAAAATTATAAGAATCGTCGAAATACGAGATGAAGGGTATATTGCACGCTACTTAAAAGAAATTTGCTGAAATACTTTTATCTATTTTTAATTTAAAAAATATTTGAAAAACAATGAGATGCAAAATCTCTTTTGTTTAGTACACGTCACTCGATTCGAAATTTGACTGCAATTGAAATCCGGTCTCATAATTTTTTGGAATACAGATATGTGAGACGTACAGCACACATTACGTGTAATCTCGCGATGTAAATCATTGCGAGTGTGACGAATTGGCAAGCGCATAAATTGAATTTCGCGCAATAGAATTTTCGTGTGACGTTTGCGTACAGCGCGTTAACAGAAAATTTGTAACACCGTGTGTAGTGTGTGGCAGAAGGCAGGCGCGGGGGTGCACGTGAAGAAAAGACAGGGGATTTCCCTATCGGGGCGCATTTCCAGAGCCAGATATCCCGCGCGCTTCCCGTGTGCAGCGCAAGCCGGAAATAAATCTCGATGGACTGTGCCGCCTCGCGGTGCTCGCCGTCGCGCGCCCGCCAGAGCGCGAGTGCTCTCTCACAGACGCTGAAGAAGCAGTTGGATAGCGCGGCGAAAGTACGCACGTTGAGCTCTCTCTTCCTTCGTGGAATGGCTTCATTGAATCGGGGACAGCGTTTTTCGCTGGCCATTGCCAAGTCAGCTATTCCATTGCCGCGCGTGTCTAAATAATCTCGAGCACCTGCCGAACGCGACCAAGTGGATAACTCGAAAGCGCGGGCTGCAAAGAGTAGCGCCGCGCCGAATCTGCGCCACGCCTCGACTTGAGTGACTTGATGACGAGATGGAATAAATCAAAATTAACAGTGTTTATTATCTTTGCGTTTTCTTGATTCTCGACAGATGTCTTCATTTATCTTCCCTCATTTCGCAGAAGGCTGATCTCGCTGTCGGCTCGATGACAATCAACTACGCGCGCGAGAGCGTGATCGACTTCACGAAGCCGTTCATGAATTTGGGCATCTCGATCCTCTTCAAGGTAAGTCCGACGGATCTCGCCGGTAATATCTCGCTCGCGCAAACCCGGCAAAACCGCGAGTTGAACGCGCGAATTTATTGCGTTACAAGGCAGCAATTGCATCCCGCTCTCGGACCGGGATATTTAAAGCTATCCTATATAAAGCCTCCCCCTTAATCTCCCGGTTCACGAGCGCGAAATGGCGTTACCCTGATAGCTCATATTTTTATTTCGTCCACGTCCCGCGCCGCATTGTGGCCGAGGCGGGATCCAGCTTTGTTGGTCTTTCCCCTCTCTCGTCCCGTGTATTTTTCCGCGCCGCGCATCTGTTATTCTTATTTGCTTTTTTTTGCCGTATACTCCATCTGTTGTTGTTAGACCATTTTTATTTGGCAGCCGGCACGAACGTACCCATACTCAAGAATCAACGGAATGCCGATGAAAGTTTCGCATCGTTGAATAATATCCCCCGCGCCGATATTTTCGCGTTTTCATATTTTCTTGTTTTCCTGCTTACTTCTCTTTTTTTTCAAACTGCGCGTCCGACGCGCATTGAAAAGTTAATAAAAACGCGTCCGCGAGATAATTTTAAAACCGCGCGAGATATTTACGTAAAGTTATAGTGCCGGCGGTAATGCGGGAGAACTTGCTATCCGTATATACGACTTGTAATTCGGTCTAATTTCGGCGTCGGCTGTGTGACCATAACTAGTTCTTATCTACTTGCCCGTAAACCGACCATTGTCTAACGGTCACGTCTGTATAATGCCTCCACATTTTGCTAAAATGGCCAACTAATAGTCGAGTGTAAATACCACTTGCATATAAGAGATTATTATCCACGTATCGCAATAGTAACTGACTGCTCAACCTCATCGAACATCGCAAACGAAAATCATATGTATCGCTTACATTTGTTTATACTTAATGTGTATAAATAATTCTTCGAATAATTATAACTCCATCATCTTTCGCATTATCGTAAAGGCTAATTACGATAAAGCTTATGTTGTTGAAAATAAAAATCGTTGCGCGAAATAACATATGTAAAGTACCGTCTATATTTCATGTATTATTATATTATTAACTCATGTAATTCGTATTTTAATATGCGACAGATGATGCGTAAAGTGCCGGGGAAAAAAATCGTTTACGGTCTGCTTGTAAATTTAGTCTTCATTAACCCGGCTCGTGCTGTAAGATCGTGCTATGACAGTAATATCGCGGCGCTTGACGATGCACTCGCGTGTAGTACTAACACGCGCATGTATGTATGTTTCCCGCTTATAACACGATGCAGCACATGTGTTGCGAGATGACAGAAGGGGGAAGCAGACTAATTAGTGCCGCTCGTAAGTGATGGCACGTAAACGGATTTAATAATCGGAATGTATCATCGATCGGCTGACGCGTCGAGTTAGTGAGCCGATTAATTCGATATTTGTTCGACGAGTCGTTTCTTCATCAGCCGTTTTTGCCTCCCTCCACCTCCGCTCCCACCCTCCCGTCCCATCGCCCGTTCTTCATCCACCCTCTCTCTCTCTTCTTCTTCTCCTCTCTTTCTCTATGCTTCTCTTTTTCTATATCCATCCCTATACTGTCTCTTCGCCCGACGTCTCTTTCCTGATTCTACCTTATCACTCGTGAAGCTTTAATTATTCTCGCAATGTCTCGTGCCCGGGAGTTTCTCCCGATTCGCGGATTCCATTCGATCGATTCGGGCGGCAGTACCGGAATCCCACCAAGTTTCGACTCGCGCTAAATAATTCGAGATGCTGGAGTTAACTTCTCTCTCGGCCAGCTGCACTTTATACCGTAACGAGCAGCGGTGGGACTCGCTTACTGCGAAGTTAATAATGGCATTGCGCGGACGGGCGACGTAACGGTACCGATGGAGAAGTTAATTTCTCGAGCTTTTGTAATAAAATTTTCGCGACGACGGCCGCGGCGCGGTCGACGACGGGATCGTTGCGTCCGGGGTCGCTCCCACCTCGTCTATCTCTAATTCCTCGATTTCCCGTGGAAAATCCAATCGGACGTTTGGACCGACGAAATTTACGGAACGACCATTTCCGATCTTTGCCGCTAATTTTTCTTTTTTTCTTTTATTCTTGTTTTGTTCGACCACAGTTTTTTCTGCGATACACCTGTATATATTGAATCAGACTCGTTATTTAATCAGACTGCTCCATCAATAATAAAACTGAAGAATCAGCACTTTAAAATGTCATTATAGAGAGCAATCGTTGAATAATAGAGGTATACATATACAATAACATAACTTCTTCGTGAAAAATCAATAAAATTAATCACCCTTCCTTCCCAATAATTAATAACTCGATAGATTTCATTAATGTTACTTCAACTTCTTTTCTGACGGAAGCCTCTAAAAGTGTATTTTCTAAAAGCCATTTTTTTATCAATTTACCAACGGATTCTTAATAAGCTACGTAAAATGAACGAACTTTTATCAGACAACATGCGCGTCTAAGATATTTCTCAGAGTCGTTTTTTTTAAGATGTCGTTAAAACATTATTAGTAGACATCTTAAAAACGTTTTTAAAACTTTCTTAAAAGACATCTTTTATTGAAGTTATAAAACATTTGTAAAACATTTTACAAATTTTAAAATTTACAAACTTTTATAAAACATTTTGTGGGATTTACAGCTATTTATGACCGCAATATTTATTGATTAGAATGCATATATATATGACATGGGCAAATGACGGAACTGTCAAAGAAATTACATAATGATGTCTTTAAAAAATTATTGTATTATATTTTAATTTTTAATATCTGAACAATTTTATTTGGATACATTAATTTTTTATATAATTTATATCTTAGAAAAAGATATCTGTTGAAAAATTGGTAAAAAAATAGAACTTTCATATTCTTTAGGATTCCTGGGAGAGAATCTTCCCACATTCTTGTGTCGTGTATTTCTTTCTACATTAGCCCTTTCAATGTTATATATTGTATTTTATGTATACCTAAATAATAAATAATAGCAGTAACACAATGCCAATTATATTGTCTTGAAGATCTTCCCACAACGCCAATGTTCAAACTTCGAATGAAATTGTTCGCCTTAGTTCCCGATTTGACGCAAGCCAACTGCTTAATGAAGATAATTAAGCAAATCACCGTTATGCAGTCAAGCGTTAGTGACGTGGTAATCTTTCATCGTGATTCACTGCAGGATTAATTATAGACTACGTATATTACACTTGACAGAACCCACGAAAGCTCTCTGCTCAAATACTTGTTAGTTGAGAGATCGATATTAATATTTGTTAAAATCGATCGTGATGTGCGACGACGCGACGGCAAATTAATTGCTTGCAAATAATTGCAATCGAGAGTGATTCGAACGAATTACTTATGCGGAGTAGTTCGCACGCATAAGTTACATTTTCATCGAGACAACGAGGCGTGAAAAACTCGATAAGTGGACTTCTTATAAATTAATTAAAAACGACGGAGGCTCTCTCGCGCCGCGCTGACGATGAGCTTGCCTTTCAATGCGGGGATCCGTTTCTGCTCGAGCAGGGATTTCCCTCCGGCGAATATTATACAAGTGGCGCGCGGTCCCTCTTTTCGCTGATTGCACCAATCGACATTGATCGGCCGGAGGGTGCTTTCTAATTAATGTAGGGCGATCGTTTAATTGCAATTAATGTTGCAGTCGGCAGCTGTTTCTACTTCCAAAGCTATATCCTTTAATCCCGTCACATATCCATTACATATTTTCGCTAAATTTCGCAATATATTTACGACTCGAATTATCGAATTACACTACACGAAATATTCTAAATTAATTGTTAACATCACGAATCCTTCATGTATGTTACATAGGTACTTTTACAAGGGTCTAGTCATTTTTTTCATCGTCGACAATAACAGGGACAGGTGCTTTCTGCTATGTTATTTTCTTATTTCCTCGGAATCAGCATCTGCTATCGAGAGAGCGAGCGTTAAATTTTACATCAACCAATTCCATTCGCGCAAATGTATCGACAGAAAACGAAGATTTCAACACCAGGCATTTAGTAACTATCGTGATACATGAATAAAAAATCACCGTGATCGATATCAACCTATACAAACGTATTGACAATTCGCTACAATTATCTCGCTACAAATCAATTTTTTTATTTATTATACCCTGCAACGTATTACGCTTATATTTTCACGTGTTCTTTTTATTTTTATAAGCAGTATATATTAAATTCGACTCGTTATACAATATCATACCAAAACATCGCGTGCATTATGACTGTCAAAAATTGTTTCTTTCATGTAATAATTGCGTAGCCCTAAAAATTGATAGTCCATATAAAGTGCAGTATACTCGGAACGATTAAATATACAAGTATAATAAAACCACAAAAGTCTGAGCGAAAATTGGATAATAATCTCAATGTGGGCAAAGTAAATTTCGGATATTGCATTAAACAAATTAATCGATTTCACGATATTACGTTTAATATTAATTAAGATTGCTAATTAAGAATTGTTAAATTACCCGTGTGAAATTTCTTCATCATTACACATATCGCTCCGATATTACGCAGAATTAATTAAGCTTAATATTATAATGCACATTTCATACATATTCTCCTTCTCTCCTTTTTATGCGTACAATAATTAGTGAAGTGCATCTGATCGTTAAAATAAAATACCGATTAAATAATAAAAAACAAGCTGAAAATAAAAATTTCCAGCGATAAGCTTTATTATAATTTAATTCTTTAATTGCTAATACAATTATTTAATTTTTTAAAATTCCAGATATCAATGTTATTAAATAAATTTTTAATATATGAAAACGAAATAATGTTTTGCTCGTGAATGCATAAGCGAATAAATTTTTCTAATATTTTAAATAGAATTTAAAGCGTTCGTATGACGAACAACGAGATATCAAAAGTTCAATAATTCTTTACAGGTACCGACTAGCCATCAGGCGCGGCTTTTTTCCTTCATGAATCCGTTAGCGATCGAGATCTGGCTGTACGTTCTAGCAGCGTATGTTTTGGTGTCGGTGACGATGTTCGTCGTGTCGCGATTTAGCCCCTACGAATGGAATAATCCCCATCCGTGTCATCCCGGGCCGGAAATCGTCGAGAATCAGTTCTCCTTATCGAATAGCTTCTGGTTCACCATCGGAACCCTCATGCAGCAGGGCAGCGATCTGAATCCCAAGGTTTGCGTTTGCGAGTTTCCGCTTTAATGTCGTAGGTATTGGGTATATATTATATGCGAAACTGATCTTATATATGAATGTAAATTATAAGGTGTTATGATGTTACATTAACGTAACGCGTTTATGTTAATCTTATCGTAATTACCTTCATAAACAAACTCATCAATGCCCCTTTCATCTATAATAGACTAATAACTCGTGAAATAACTCTCATAATAATCGACCCTGGTTTCAAGCGTCCATTATATATAATCATTATAAGCTATACTGTCGCATAGTTTATTTTATACTATCGATGACAACAATGCAGGTGATCTTAAAATGATAACGTTACAGCAATTTTTATGATATTACAAACGTGATATATATATATATATATATATATATATATTTCCACAACGATAATTATTAAACAATTAAATTTCTGTTCCAATTACGCGCATTACCTTTACTTCAAGTGATTATCCATTCGAAAATGTCTTATTATCAAACACCTTCGCGATAACGCTTCGCAATTTTCTTGGCAAGCAAACGCAAATGTTCCCGTTCAAGAAATCTCCAGCTTTCATTTGCAGACTTTCAGCTTTTGAATTAGTTTTCAAATACTGAGAATCTCCTATTCAACTAAATGAAACACCCGTTAATCCCCCCCGGAACGTTTGAAAGATATATAGTAAGGATGTAAAAAGAAGTGCCGAAGTATTTTCAGCGTGATGAGGAATTAACGTTATTTGAAGGTGTTATTACGAGAGATTGCAGTTCTGCTATTAAACTATATTAGGCGCACGTTAACGTAGTTATCGCAGTATTATAATATTGATCATTAAAATTAGCTATTAATCGAGTTTACGGTACACGTATCGCTTTGCAGTGAAATTAATACGAAGCCAATAGCGATAATGAAGCTAGTCGTTAAATCGATGTGCGGCGAATATCGATGAAATGATGATATCTTTATCAGGCTACGAGCACGCGTATCGTCGGTGGCATATGGTGGTTCTTCACCCTGATCATCATCTCGTCGTACACCGCGAATCTAGCGGCTTTCCTCACGGTGGAAAGGATGATCACGCCGATAGAGCACGCCGAGGATCTCGCCAGTCAGACGGACATCGCATACGGAACTCTCGATAGCGGAAGCACGATGACTTTCTTCAGGGTGATTAATATTATTATCTATTTGGAATACGGATGATGGAATATAATAGCATTAATATCTCTCTATACTAGTACTATCTAAAAAAAATACTATACTAATATCTCTGTAATGTTACAGAGAATAACTGTAAATTAGAATTTGACTCTCAAAGCTGTGACATACGCACATTTCCCTTCCACATTGTAATATAATACACATTATAATATAATACAAATATTCAGAAGGTATGTTTTTAATTGCGCAAGAAACTGTAAGCTCGTTAGCTTGTATGTAAATCCCCGTACTATATTGATATTTTTACGAACGCTTGAGTTCACGTCCAATTTATGGCCTGTTAATAACCAGATAATGATTGCGCGCGATACAGCCGCGTAATAAATACGAAAATAATTATTTTGCAATTATTATAATGATAATCGCCTCCGTTTACGCGGAAATGGAGTTTTAATCACGTCGCGTCTTTCGCACCGATTTACAGAAACTTTTCCGTTGGCAGTTAATTATAAAATAATATTTATCAATACGCGAAATTTATGATGCTCCGGTTAAACAATAACGATTATCGCGAATTATGATGATAATAAAATCTGATTTTCTGCGCTTCTCAAATTTCGACTCAAGGACTCGATGGTCGAGACGTATAAGAAGATGTGGAGATTCATGGAGAATAAGAAGCCGTCGGTGTTTGTTCCGACATACGAAGAGGGTATCCAGCGGGTTCTTCAAGGCGATTATGCCTTTCTGATGGAGTCGACCATGCTGGATTACATTGTCCAAAGGGACTGCAATCTCACGCAAATTGGTGGCCTGTTGGACACCAAGGGATATGGAATCGCAACGCCCATGGGTCAGCTATTACGATCAATGTCTATTTTCATTTTGAAACATTTTTTTTTACGATCCAATTTGTAATGGTTTATTGAGCAATTAAAAAAAAACAATTTTAATATTAAAAAAAATTGATATATGGGACGGTGTATATTCAATTGATAAAAGATTTTTAATCCAATATTTATAAATAAATATCTATTTTGCCTTTTACAAATTGATTTTTTCTCTGGTCTTACGTCAAAATAAAAATAAAGCTACTTTATTTGTACTTGATAATATATCGCGCAAATAAAAAATATACTTTTAATTTAGAATGAAAATAAATCGCGTAAAATAAAGAGTGCTTACTAAGTAGACGGATCTACTTAGTGATTAAGTGATTCAAATTTCCGAAAAATTTTGCAGGCTCACCCTGGCGGGATAAGATCTCTCTAGCAATTCTGGAGTTGCAAGAGAAAGGCGAAATTCAGATCTTGTATGACAGATGGTGGAAGAGTCCCGGGGACACTTGTATGAAGACGGAAAAGGGAAAGGAGAATAAAGCCAACGCTCTGGGCGTCGACAACATAGGTGAGCGCCTGTCTCGGAGAATAGCGCGTAAATTCTGAATTATACGCATCATGAGTTTCCTCGGTAAAGTCATAACACGGAAATTCCCTTTTAATAGCCGCAAACTATTTCCTATTATCTTTGTTGGCTTATTAATCTTATGTAAAATCGTGAAAGCTCTTTGATCGGCGGAGAACTTTAAAATGAATTTTTCTGATGAAAATAAATTTAAATATTATATCTATTTTTCAATGAAATTCTACGACGAATTATTCGAATCGTGTGAACGTGCAATTTATATACTTTAGAAATTTTTTGTAATTCACTCGTTTTAATTTATATTATAACTGAGAAAAAAAATTGATTGTACGAACTAAATTTATATAGTTGTTTGATCCAATAGTTAATTCAACAATTCTTTAGTTGCACAAAGAAAGATATAGTTCAATCATTTCAACCATAAAAATTGTTTAATAAAGAATTAACTAAACCAACTCAATTAAATTATTTTGTTCGAATAACTAGTAGTATTTATTTGTGTTTGCATGTTATTTAGTTATCCAAGTAATATATTTGTTTAAATT